AACAACATCAAAAAAAAACCAAACTTCTTTTTCAACACACTTCAATAAAACAAAACAACAATTTCAAAAAAACAAAACAAACACAAAAAACAAAACAACAAGAAAAAAAAATTTCACATTCCCTCAAATTTTCAAAAATCAAAAAAAACAAACACAAAAAAAAAATCCCACACTTCAGACAAAACAAACAAAAAAACAAAAAAAAAACACACACAAAAAAAACCAAACAAACTTGTTCACCAAATAAACCAACCAACAAAAAAAAAAACCCAAAAACAAAAAAAACTTCATTCAAACAAAAAAATTTCCCACAAAAATTTCACAACCAAAACAAACAAATCAACATTCAAATCAAACCACAAAAAATCACAAAACAATAAAAATACATCCAAAACAAAAAAGCATTCCAACAAAAAAAACATCTCAAACTTTCCCACACAAACACAAACAAAAAACAAAAAACCTTCAAAACAAACAACAAAATTAAAATAATAAAAAAAAAAAAAACCAATAAACAAAAAACAAAAAGTACCAACATACAAGTTGAAAAAAATTTCACCAACCAAAACACAATCAAAAAACACAACAAACAACACAACAAAAAAAAAACAAATTGACATCAAAAACCACAAAAAAAAAAATTTCCAAAATCAAAAACTAAACACAAAACACAAAACAAAAAAACACAAAAAATTCACAAAACACAATTAATCGCAGGATTACCCCCCGTTAGCCGGCTTTGTAGCAAATTCTATTTGTTCTTTACGCCGCTTCTGGCCGTTGTCTGGGGCTTACTTCCTAGCCCAGTGGGAATAGACTGCGTTATTAGGTCGTTGGGCCGGCCGGAAGTTGATGAGTAAGGTTTGGCGGGGGGGCCGAAGGAGTTTTCCGTCCGGACACGTAGCTTACCGAATCAGTTCGACCACGGTGGATGCATGCTACGAAAGACAGGGTCGAGTCGATACCATCAACGTCGACTCCATATCCTTTCACGAGTCCACAATCACTTACACGAGAATAACCTTGGGTTGGTGAATGAAAGTTTGCGCCTTAGGTGAAAGGCTCCAGTTACTGGCGCGGATCGTTATACTGAGGTTGCTCCCCGTCGGTTGTCGTGAACGACGCGAGCCGAATTGATTTCTGTCTTTGCGGGATGACTTGCATGCTCCCGAAAATATATTGGGATTAACGGCGACTTTGTTGACTCGCCGAGTTTTACCTCCTTAGAAGCTGCACTGTGTTGCTTTTTTGCCCTGAGTCGCCACTTCAGACTTAAAGGCTTCCAAAAGACTGGCGTGTTGGTGTGGCTTTGTACTCTACCTCTTTTGGCAGCTTTCTCTACGGGCTTCCTGAGCTTGAGCCCGTGCCTCGCGCTGACACTCGCGTCGGCGCTTGCGAATGACGCTCCTCGAGCGACTCGAACGATTCCGTTGAACGGCCAGGAACCATCTTCTCTTTGCGGCTTGGAAAGTCGCCGTTCATTGGTGGTGAGGCTGTTCTGCCTCTTCCTGTTCTTTCACACTCCGCGTGTACGGGAATGCCTGTCCCGTAGACTCCCATCCGCTAGCAGCACTTGCGCGCAAGGCCTGTTGACCGACGCCATCTGGCGAGCTCCTTTGGAGCGTCACAACGCCGCTGGAACAGCTGGAGGCAGCTTGGCGGGATCTTTGGTTGACCTGCATTGGGAGAGTGGTGAACTTCACTTTGACGCAACTTCACGGCGGTCAGTTGGCGGTTGAGAGTCGTCGTGGATCCGAGCAGCTTCAAACCAACGAGATTTCTCCCGAGGACGAACTCTTCGACTTAGCGGGGGGAGTAGATCGGCGAGGGACACGTACTCCGCGAAACTTGCCTTGGTCCGAACTCGGTAATCGACCGTCCTCCACACCCCGACGCGCTGCGATCCCGCTCCACCGATCTCGGACAGCCGAATGCTCGCTGCGCTCCACTGTGGTCGCACAGATTGTTCGTGCCGCTGGAACAACTGTAGCTTTCTTCCTTAATTGAGATAATTGTCATCTGGATTACAAAGATCGCGTCTTTCATAGATTCCGGTTACAACTAAATCAAAGAAATAAGCAAAAAGTAAAATATACAACTTTCCTCTTCGTGAACACATATCAGCGACTCCTGTTTTACGGCCGCCCGCTTGTGTAGTGTTCTTTGCCATGCGCTCGGGGTTGTTTTGCCGTGGACCAACCGCGCGATCTAAGACCCGTCGCATCTACACGATTATGCGGATTATTCACTAAGGGTAATAATAGCCGGAAGGGATTAATCCACCAACGGGGAATAACGCTCGATCCGAGACATAAGACCAGCTTAGATCTGGAGTATGTACCTCGTGAGATCTCAAGATCTGTTCTATTCTTCCTTCGAGATCACTGCTTTATCTGACGTGGATTGCGTCGCCGAGGACAGATCTGTACGTCCAAGCTTCAAATCTTCAAAAACTCTGAGTTTAGCTCTTCAATCCGGGCACGTAGTTTTCGGCGTCTTGAAGTTCGACTCCGAAATGAACATCTCTAGGCCTCATTTATAGCTCTCAGGACAGTGCCCGTGCAAACAGAAGAAACGGATCGGCCACCCGTTGGCACCTGTCGCCCTCTGGTGGCCGACACTGTGCCGAGCCACCATGGGTGGCTCGGCCACCGGAGCCACCCATGGGTGGCTTCGGCATTAAGCCGAGCCCCCTTAGGTGTGGGTTTTCCGCAGTTATTCGACGTGTGTCCGCTTTTCCGATTTTTGTCGCGTGATTCGCGTTGATTGAGACTCTGATTGGTTGATCTGATTTGGCAGTAAGTCGGATTCCTGATTGGCTAGTAAATCCGCTCTGAGTTTCGATGTCCTAGAACTGATCTGGTCTGATCGTGATTGCGTCGAGCTATTTCGGTTGGATGACTCGTTTGATTCCTTAATCGATTAGCTTTTGATTCTGGCACGAGGGTGATTCATTTCCGTTGTTCGGTGGATTTGTCGATCTCGTCGCCCTCATTGGTTCGTCGGTTTGGCCGGCGAGCGCTAACGGACCTTATAAGCAATTTTATACTGCCACACCAAGCATACCCATTTTTCATATATAATTATACAATATATATATATATATATATATAGTATATATATATAATTATATTATACTTTTATATATATCTTATATATCATACTCTTGGTAAAAAGTACTCATGTTCGAGAAAATCTTTCCATGGTCAATATTAACCTTAATTTTTTTATGAACATTACATTGTTATCCTGATTTATTCTAATTATCCTATCTTCTTTGAATTGATAATTAAATAATTTATCCTATTCATAATGAGACTTAACATGTTATTGGATAAAAGAGATACAATTGATATAATTCAAATCCTTTACTTATTTTAGTTCGTAGTGAAATCTAAAAAACATATGCTAGCCAGCACCTAAAAAACTTTGGACTTTGTAAAAGTTATCCTCCAAATTTTTTAAATTGTAAAAACATCACTACATATTCAAAATTTTGTTAAAATATCTTAAAAATTATAAATTATACTTATTTCAATTCAGTGAGAAATCTAAAAAATATATGTTAGCAAGAAACCAAAAGTTTTTTGACTTTAGAGAAAATTTCTTGTAAGTTTTAAAAATTACAAAGACACCCCTAAAAATTCAAAATTTATAAAAAAACCTTAAAACTTTTAAACCTATAAAAATACTAAAAACCTACAAATAATATAAACAACCCCTAAAATTTTATGGAATTTACAATAAACATTAAAGTTTTTACAAATTACATGATTAAACTCTCAAAATGTAAAATTTACAAAAATCCCGATAATTTCCAACCTAATAGTACATTGAAAATATAGGAATTGAAAATATCCCCTACATAATTTATAATTTATAGAAAATACTCTTAAAGCTTCAATAATTATAAATAATAAATCAAAATTTAAAATTTACAAAAAAAACTCTAAGAGTTTCAAACTCATTAGTAAATTGAAAATATAGGAATTATAAATAGTCTATAAATAATTTGCAATATGTAGAAAAGACCTATAAGTTTAAAAAATTGCAAAAAAACCCTAAAATTTATAATTTTCAAAAAACACCATGAGAACTTTTAACCTATAGACATAAAATAAATATACAAAATTACTAATAATCCCTAGTAAATTAAAAGTTTACAAAAAACAGCATACTACCTTTAAAAGTATAGGTTTAGAAAAAATATTTCATAGTAAATATTACTCATAACTTTTTTGAAAAGAACATAACTAATTAAAAATCTATTAAATTTGAAATTTACAAAAAAGCCTTAAAATTTAGTATATTGCAAATTACCCCTCCAAAATTTGAAAATTTAAATGATTTTTTGTAATTCCTTGATTTTAATGTAATGTTTAATTATTGTGTGTATTTGTAAATTATAAAATTTAGGGTTTTTTTTATAAGTTTTAAAACTTTCGAGGATGTTTCTTTTGTAGTTTTCTAAATATTTATTGTGTTTTAATGTAATGCATAGATACGTCAATTAGTAATGATATAGAAGAGTAAGTCGTTAAAAAGATTTTGACTTTGATGTACTATTTTTTATAAATTATATTTAATGTGAATCCACCATATAATTTTTATTATGGTCATCATAATTTTGGTACGTTTGATTGATTGACTAAATAGGTATGTAGAGCATTGATTACTTTACTTTTTCACATGAACTAATATTTAGCACTTAATAATTTCAATTATTACTATTAAATTTAATATAAAGAGGAGCTCTAATAACATTTATTTATTTACCTACATGATAATACAATCGTAATTCTTATTTTTTTTGAGATTTATTCTTTAGTTATGTGTATCAAATTAGTAACAAAAATAATAATTATTTATGAATAATATTCACGTTCAATGATTCACATCCAACAATATTCACATACACATCCAACAATATTAACATTTACATTCATCAATTCACATCCAACAATATTAACATTTAACAATTCACATATATACATAATCAGTAACATTTACATTCATCAATTCACATCCAACAATATTAACATTTAACAATTCACATATATACATAATCAGGAGGTCATAATATGTTCATCACATATATACATAATCAGGAGGTCATAATATGTTCAACACAATCCAAAAGTCCACATAATCAGGAGGCCATAATATGTTCAACACAATCCAAAAGTCCACAAAAGTTACCAAAAAGTCTAACTCACCACTCACTCACTCATCATAGTCGTGGTCCCTATCGTCGTGATCCCTATTATCGGTGGCGGCTGCATCAGAATGCCGTACCGTACTACTGCTTCCTACGGCGGTACTTTCTCTAGCCTAAAAAGAATGTAAATCAATATGAGAATATATTCCAAAATACTCATAATAAATACATATATATAATATGACATATATACCTCTCCACCACTTGCAGCTGCATGCTCATCAAATGCCAACACCATAATATCCGTGTATATAGACTGCGGAAGCAAGTCCTTTAAGGGTTGAGAATCGATGAGTCACTGAACGACATCCCAAGTCGTTTGTGCACCACTTAACTCGTGCTTAATAGTGTGAAGAAAACTTAAAGCCAATGGAATTTCAACATTCTTCATCAAGTATTTTCCAATCTTACCCACGACATAAACATTCTTCATCAAGTATTTTCCAATCTTACCCACGACATATGACGTGTCACCGTGTCGCGTCGAGGTCACAGATTGGCTGCTAGGCTTATTGGTGGTGACCCACGACATATGACGTGTCACCGTGTCGCGTCGAGGTCACAGATTGGCTGCTAGGCTTATTGGTGGTGGTGAGTGTTTTAACTCAAGTACTTGACGGAGGCACTCTTCCTTTCTTTCTTGAGTGTGAACCGTAAGCTCCGTCGACAACTTCCAATCCACTCGTCTCTGGTCATGTGGTTAGGCTCTACAGGAGTGTCCTCTGTACTTCAAGACTGCGTGGCACGGGTGAAGACATCGTTTTGAGAAGCTTCCAGCGCCGCCTGCATATCATATATCATAAAAATTAGAAATTTTGATGAAAAATCATTAAGTATATACAAATCTAAAATTAATCTTATACTTACGTTCAATTCATTAATTTTCTCCACCTTTTTGTCATTTCCCTCTACATTTTCATAGCGCTGGGGCAGTGTATAAACTCTTATAGCCAGAAGAGTCAGGGGCATAGTCAAAGCGTCTTGTGATATATTAAATTCCAAATTAAATGTAGGAAACTAATCACATGAAATCAGTTTTAATAATATGATCATACCGGGTTTTTGTTCAAATACTTATGCTCGATCTGAACATAAGGAGTAGCTCCTAAAAAGTGATCGTATAGCTTTGATCTACGATTCACCGATGTCGTTTCACATATTTTCTACAAAATAAAGTATTTTATTAGTATGTGCGATGATAATATATAAATGAAAAATAACGTGATGATAATGTCATAAATTAAAAATAATCTACCTTCTTCTCACCCTCCCACTCGATAATAAGAGTCATCCAATTAAATGGAGGAACTCTCTTATCAAGTTCATAGATCCTCTTCCAATCAGTAGATAAATATGTGAAATATCTTTTCTTTAGATCACTCTTCCAACACCGAATAAGCTTGGCCATTTTGGGGATAACATAATCCCAAGACTCTGGGTTGTCTTTAAGACAATAATGATCCTGCAAGTTACATGGCAAAAAGTTTACACTATAAGAATAATCATTGTGAATTGTAAACAAAATAAGCAGCAGTATATTAAATAATTACCATGAGCTTCTCCCAAATCTTTTTTATGCATTTAAATTCTTGCTCCTCAAAATTATGAGCAATATTAATGGAGCGTGGATCTCTTATTAAATAGCCAATCAAGTTATTAAATTTGACAGCCCAATCCCCAACAGGAATGTTGTCCTTCCACTCCAAAATGCCCCGGTACCCTTTCGGAGGTACTTTCGTCTTTTCCTCACTCCCATGCCTACCGGGTTTCTCATAATCTTTTTGGCCTACAAAGTCAAAGAGAAATAAATTTCTTATAAACTTAAGTAAGCAAATAAGTATGAATGTCAAAGAGAAATAAATTTCTTATAAACTTAAGTAAGCAAATAAGTATGAATTATCCAAAGTTTAAACGTAATTATTACTTTTTTCCCTCATTAGATCTGACATAGCTTTATCTAGTCTCTGTTTTATGGCATGCTCCTTTCTTTTAATATCATCTCTCTTCAATTTGTAGTTCATATCACATTTTTTGTAATTCAATAGATTTTTTTGGTAGAGGGATGCAAGATACTGACGGAGTCCATGGGCGGAGACATGCCATCTCTGAGTGAGAAGATCTGGACACCCTCTCGTGCTCGATCTCATCATCACCAGATCCATCGCAAGCATTGTCTACAAGTATTTATTAGGAATATAAAATATCATTACATTACATTAAAATATCATTACATTACAAATGTATAATACCTATATCTAGTAATGCGTCTTGATGTTACGGTGTACCCAGTTGAGATGTCCCCACAATATCTAACAAATTATAAAATAAGAAATGAGCATATAAATTTATCAATTGAGGTAATTACATGCACAGAAAGTTCAAACTAAATAAAGCAAGCAAGCAAATTTGTGTATCATGTATAGCGTATCATGGATGCTTGCAGGAACATTAAGGAATATTTGCTTTACCAGGAAGAGGATGAAAACTAAACAAAGCAAGCAAATTTTATACCTTCAATTAGTGAGGATCCATGTAGAGATAACTGACTCCGAGATGGTCGTAAGGAAGATCCCTTCTCGATTTAGGAAAAGATAGCCTCCTAACTCTTTGGCTCATCTGCAACTTAAATTGTTAATCTAACACAATTAAAATATTTAATAAATGCATACAAGATATCAAGTCGAATTTGCATAAGGATCTTTGTATTCAATCTCCTACATTACAGATATCAAGTCGAATTTGTGAAGTATACATATTAAAATTGATATTCTGAGGGTATGAGTAATTAAGAAAAATTTCTCCTTCGGCCTCATTTGGGTCATTAGTATCATCCGAGTTTTCATCAAGAGCAAGCTGAACAAGAGTTCTCGGCTCCTTATACAATACGACCCAGACATTCGGGTGCTTAGGATCTTTGACGTAAAAGCACTGAGTAGCCTAATTTGCAAACATAAACTTCATATCGGGATATATCTCTTTATCTAGATTTACAAGATGAAAACCATATGCATCCCTAGTACTGTCTGCATGACACCAACGAACCTTAAACATCACATAACTACGTATATTTTTGGTACCGTACGCATAGAATATCTCCACAATATCTTCTAATTGTCCGTAATAAATTACATCACCAAGTACTGGATTTTGATCAGTTGAGCTTGAATAACATTCTTGAGAAAATGTAGCCACGACCCTACTATTTTGAGTAACTCTCTCCTCCTCAAGCCCAACCCGTTAAAATAAACACCTATTTACACGATATCCGCTGTATTGTTTAACTGTGTAGTGCGGTCCATGTGAGTGAATACTTATCTTTTCTGACACTGGCAAACCAGCACATTTTTGTCTTTCTACCTAATGTTGCACATAAACACAAATTAGCGTTAAATAGTTAGCCTTATTTATTCCCAAAAAGAATGTAAAATAAAATACACTTTAACTTACTTTAGCTATGACCCACTCGGTAAAATGTTTTTCATGAATTTTAGCAATTTGATTTCGTGCGGACACACTAGTTATTTCTAAATGTAACTCCTCCAAATGTCGTCTGTTGATAGAAAAAATTAGAGTTCAACTATTGATATAATTCAAAAAAATCATATTTGTTAAAGTTAATTTCTTACTTGCGATAATCTTCAAAGATTTCCAGGTTTTGCAATAAGAAGGCATGAGCCTGATTCAAGTCAATTCTGGAATAGCCTTTGTTCATCTTGGTACTTTCATGAAAGGTGTCATCTCTATTACTATTTATCTCCTTATTTTTTGTATGTACACCATGTATATACCGAGAGGTAAACATCATACATTCATTTGCCACGTAATGATCAGCAATCGATCCTTCAGGATGAGCCCGATTTCGCATTATGTGTTTCAAAAAACCCAAATATCTAAAGATAATATTAATATGAGTTGTTAATATAAAGCAATTACATGTATTGTAAATAGACTTAATTGAATTTACTCCATGGGATACATCCAACGATAGTTAACTGGTCCTCCGAGTAATGCCTCATCTACAAGATGATGTGTGAGATGGACCATGATCGTAAAAAATGATGGAGGGAAGAATATCTCCATTTTGCAGAGGGTTTCATTCATTTCTCCTTTTAGTGCCTTAAATTCATCAATATTGATAACTTTTGAGCATAACTTTTTAAAAAATCCACAGAATTCGATTATAACTTTTGCTACTTCTTCATCGGCCATGTTGTTACGAAGTGCTACCGGAAGCAATTGGTGAAGAAGGATATGATAATCATGAGTCTTAAGTCCTAAAAGTTTTCGCTCTTTCACTTGGATATTATTTGAAATATTAGAGCAGTAACCATCTGGTGACTTCACTAACTTAAGCACCTCACAGAATCTCTACATCTCAACTTTTGACATTGTAATACGAGCTGAAGGCATCTCAAATTTTCCATTGGCGACTTCTTGTGCTTGTAGATCATGTGGGATGTTCAACGCATTCAAGTCTTGTCGAGCCCTTAAATCGTCCTTTGATTTCTTACCATCTTGTAGAAGTATGGATAATAAGTTATCACATATATTCTTTTCAATATGCATTACATTTAAATTGTGTCGGAGTTTGAGCTTGTGCCAGTAAGGCAACTGAAAGAATATACTAAATTTTGTCCATCCCGTCGGCAAAGTCTCAGTATGTGTGACATCTAAACTCCGCACTTACCTCTTTCGTTTAGGTTCCCTCTTCATGATAGAAGTGCGTCTCAGAGCGAGAATTTCCTCTTTTGTAAATCGGTTCTTTTCGAACTTGAATTTAGGATATCCCTCAAACAAGTTCACAATCTCATCTCCAGTCACTTCACGCGGCTCCCCTCTTTTCTCTTCTTGGCCATCAAACTTATTTGCCCATTTTCACCCCTGAATTTATGTCCTTTTCCTAACCATCTTCTGTTAAATCAATAACACATTTTTCGACTGTGTTGTAAATAAAAGCCTTCGAAGTTCGGACCACATATAGGACAAGCGACTGTCCCTTTCGTAGACCAACCTGAGAGATTACCATAAGCTGGAAAATCATTAATTGTCCACATAAGAATAGCAAGGAGATTAAAAGACTCACAAGAAAATGCATCATATGTTGGGACCCCTTCATCCCAGAGACGTTTTAACTCATCAATTAACGGATCCATGAACACATCTATGTCATTACTGGGTGAATGTTTGCCTGGTATCAATAATGAAAGAATCATATATGATTGCTTCATACAAAGTCTAGGTGGTAAATTATAGGGCATTAACACAACTGGCCAAGTAGACCATCCAGAACTCATAATGCCAAACGGGTTGAATCCGTCGCTAGATAGCCCAAGTCTGACATTCCTACACTCTGTGGCAAATGAGGGAAAAGTATGATCCACATGCTTTCATGCCTTTGCATCTGCTGGATGTCTCACTTTACCATCATCTACACGTCTTTCCTTATGCCACTGCATATCTTTTGCTATATTTTTTGTCATATTCAGACGTTGTAACCGAGGCACTAAGGGAAAATGTCGAAGCACCTTCGTTAGAATTTTCTTCTGTTGATTCATTGACTCATCTGACTTTCGTGTTGAAGTGCGTGCATTCTTTCTCCATTGAGACACTCCATACTTTGGACATTCCTCAAGTTTCTCGTTATCCTTATAATAAAGGATACAATCATTGGGACAAGCATCGATCTTATTGTAATCTAAACCCAGAGCACCAACAATCTTATTTGCATCATAACACTTTTCTGGTATGCTATTCTCTCCGTCTGGAATTACCTTGCGTAGTAAATTAAGAAGCATTTGAAAATATTTATCTGCCATTCCGCTCAGGGTCTTAATACGCATCAGTTCAAGAATAAATGACAACCTACTATACTCAATGCAACCATCATACAGATCCTTCTCGTTGTCTTCCAATATCTTCACTAAATTTCTGTAGGCCCCGCTATCACGCACGTCCTCGGTATTTTGGACATCATCTGCATCTCCAGGAACTTCAACGGCATCTGGTACTTCTGGAACTTCATCAACTTCTACAAATTTCGTAACATCGTTGAACATTGCATGCGTATCATCTATATTTCTATCATCTAATTCAATATCTTCACATTCTCCATGAAAACTCCAATATTTATAATTTTCATCAAATCTCCATCTTTCTAGGTGTCTTCGTATAGCAACTCTATCCACCAGACCTCTATTACTACACTTACTGCATGGACAACACAACAAATCGTTCTCTGTCTTCCTCGGATTAGCATATGCATATTCAAGGAATGCTTCCCATCCGTCTCGATATCGAGTATCACCTTTCGCTCTTCTTTTTAATATAGGAATATCAATCCATGACTTCAGGAACTTTTCTCATCTGTATAGTAGGAAAACTTATTAATTAATTTAATATCTCTTAAATCATCATAAGTTTAATAGTCTTTATTTTAGTTGATTGAACAAATAATCAAACGAATTAAATTACTCTTCTATAATGGCCATTGTTGTACCAAATAAAAGCTAGCACTCTATGATAAGTAATCCTAATTTAAACCAACACTCTCGGCGGTTATAGGAAGGCTTCTATCCCATTAAGAATATAGTAGTGCTTACATCTAACTTTGAATACTATGTGTATTTTCATTTCTAGAAAATTTCGGCAGCACCTACCCGCTGTTCTCCAAGTACATTGTGCGGATGTTATTATGTGTATCGGTAATAGACCAAAATCGGTAAGTAATAGTCCGATACACATAACAACATACACTTATTGTACCCAGAGAACAACAAGTATGTGCGACCAAAATTTTCTAGAAACGAAAATACACATAGTATTCAAAGTTATATGTAAGCATTACTTTATTCCTAACTCATCTGAAATGGACAGATCCAATAGTTACTTTCCAATTATTTCTACTTATAATATAAATTAAGCGATCCTTTTCGGTATAAATTTAAATTTCATACCCAAAGTTGAATCGTCCATTTATATTATATGTCTAAATAATTGGTAGCAATTATTGGACGGGGATCTACGGCTGACGTTAACTTGTTATTCACCTAAAATTAATATATAACACATTATTGTGTTATATATCACACTACTACTTTTTAAAAATAATAAGGATAATTATTTGGGTAATTACCATTATGAAAATATATCACATTATTTGAGGTGCGTGCTGAAGCGATAGTAAAGAAAGAGACATTCTCCTCAATATTCAATAACCATGTAGAACATGAGGTCTAATTTAGGTAGCAATAACATAGGAAATCAGTAGGAAAAGAAAATTAGGTCTAATTTAGGAACCGAATACTCCTTAATATTCAATAATCATGTAGAACACAATAATTTATTAAAAAAAATTTGAAAATACCTCTCTAAGCGGCTGGTCGAGGGCGGCGGGTTGGCTGGTCGAGGGCGGCGTGCGGCGGCGGGTCGTCGAGGGCGCCGTGCGGTCGAGGGAGGCAGGTCGTCGGGAGGAGAACGCGGGCGGGTCGATGGGGGGAGATGCAAAATTATTGTTGCTATTTGTATTAGTGAAGACAAACAACCCTGAATTCGTCGATAAGTTCTGGTATGATAAGTTCTGGTATTATAGTAGGGGGGAGGCAGCTGAGAGGGTTTGGGTTTGATTGGATTAGGGTTTAAGTTTAGATATTTATGTCTTTCATATTTTAATTTTAGCCCCTCAAAATTTTTATATTTTCAAATTAGTTCCCGAAATCTCATAGAAATTGCTATTGCAACCCTAAAATCTAACTATTCTTATCAATTTTTCTTTTACATCCTCTTATTTAGAGTTAATGATTAGATTATTTCAAAATTAGTCCCTCAAATCTTCAATATTTCAAAATTAGTCCCTCAAATCTTCAATATTTCAAAATTAGTCCCTTAAATCTTCAATATTTCAAAATTACTTACTCAAATCATGGAAATTTCTATTACATCTCTCAAATCATCATAATATTTACTATTAGGTCCCTTGGTTAACACCGGTTATATTTAAAGAAATATTCTTTTAAATCTAACTATTATTACTAGTTTTCCTTGACTTTTAATTATAAAAAGTTAACCCGTTTGGATCTAGTTGATAAGTTCTGGTATGATAAGTTAACCCGTTTCAAAATTAGTCTGATTGGCTATCTTCAATATTTTAAAATTACTCACTCAAATCATGGAAATTTCTATTACATCCCTCAAATCATCACAATATTTACTATTAGGTCCCCTGGTTAACACCGGTTATATTTAAAGAAATATTCTTTTAAATCTAACTATTATTACTAGTTTTCCTTGACTTTTAATTATAAAAAGTTAACCCGTTTGGATCTAGTTGATAAGTTCTGGTATGATAAGTTAACCCGCTTCAAAATTAGTTTGATTGACTATCTTCAATATTTCAAAATTACTCACTCAAATCATAAAAATTTCTATTACATCCCTCAAATCATCATAATATTTACTATTAGGTCCTCTGGTTAACACCGGTTATATTTACTTTTAAATCTAACTATTATTACTAGTTTCCCTTGACTTTTAATTTATGCATAACAAACTATATTGTTAATTATTATAGCATTAGTATCGGGGTAGAATACCTAGGAATAACTTTTCTTAGACAATAGCAATATATGCGTCTTAAACAACAATAATAGATGTGTTTCATGAGCCTAGAGGTAGGGGTGGAAGTGAACCAAATAATCAATAAACTGTTTAGTTATTATTCATCTTGCTATTCGATCAAATTTGATTCGCTATCTCATTTAACAATAAATGAATAGCTATTAGTTATGAAACTCATAAACAAATAGAAATTAACCAAATATGTATTCAATTTTCTTGGTCATTAAATCTTCGTTCAATTTGAGATATAAGCTTAAATGGAAAAGACAATTTAGAGGGGGAAATTAGTAAAATGATGCTTTTTTCGGGGGGGGGGGGAAATATACAATGCTTGGGTATATATGTAAAAATTTCACAGAGTTTGAACACATGACCTGTTATATCATATTCGCTCGAACTCAATTTTGACGGCTCTTTCTCCTCTTAACCTTATAAAAAACTCCAAGAGAACTCTATCCAAACTATTTTCATCCAGTTTTTAGTGATTAAATCTAATTTATCTCCTCTCAGATTCATTAATGATGTTTACAGGTTCAAGTCCATCCATGAAAACTACCAAGAGTAGTAGAGTTCATCGAATCTACTAGCAGAAAGAATAAAAATAAATAAATTTTAAAACTAACATAGAATTCCTAATTAATTAAAAATATTTTAACATAAGAATCTGATAACATATGTATCTTTCCATCGCAAATGTTTGTATTGGCGATGGATTTCAAATTTGTCGTCAATACCCCGTCGAAGACGACGCTAGAGGGGAGCAGGGGGCCCTTGAGAAGGCCACCAAACAACTGTCCTGGATCATAGTAGACTTTCACGTCCTCAGATCTCAAGCTATCATCTACCTGCGTGGAACAAAATACTATTGGACTACATTTAAAATATTATAGCTTTGAGGGACTAATATTAAAATAATTCTTAATTTTTTATGGGGCCACTCATTAACAATGAGATAATCAATCACTAATGTTAATTTTTTATGATGGCGACAGACATTGGAGACGAATTCGATTCGTCGCCAATAAGTATTGGCGACGTATTCCAATCCGTCGCCAATAAGTATTGGCGACGGAACATTGGCGACGGAACATTGGCGACGGATTGAATTCGTCGCCAATACTTATTAGCGACGGAACATTGACAACAGATAGAATCCGTCGCCAATACATCCGTCGCCAATACTTTTTGGCGACGGATTCGATCCGTCGCTAATACTTATTGGCGACAGATTCGATCCGTCGCTAATACTTATTGGCGACAAATTCGATTCGTCGCTAATAAGTATTGGCGACAGAACATTAGTGACGGATCAATTCTGTCACCAATACGTATTGGCGACGCATCAATTTCGTCGCTAATACTTATTGGCGACGGATCGAATCTGTCGCTAATAAGTATTGGCGACGGAACATTGACAACAGATAGAATCCGTCGCCAATACTTATTGGCGACGGATCGAATCCATCGCCAATACTTATTGGCGACGGATTGGATCCGTCACCAATGTTTTTCCATCGCCAAAGGTTATGAGCGACGGAAAACATTGGCGACGGATTGAAATCCGTCGCCAATACAAACATTGGCGATGGGAACAACCTCGTCGCCAATGTTTGTATTGGCGACCAATTTCAAATCCGTCGCCAATACCCCATCGCCAATACTCAGTTTTCTACTAGTGTATAATTTACTGTCGCATATATACTTATATCAGCATATAAATTTATATATTTTATATTCAGGCTATAAAATATAAACTATGCATAATCTATAGCAAAATTGGCATATAACGATATACAATTTATATACTTTCACTACATATAAACATCAGAATGATTCAAATTATTGAAATATATTTTGGTTTATAATTGATCACTTGTATCAATTCACATAGATTTTTTTTCATTTTACTTTTACAATTTTGTACTTTTATAGTTGAAAATACTCAAAACTTCTTTATAATATTTTACCATAAATCTTATTTTTCCCCTTTTGACCCACTTCCTCATTTTCATGTTCACGAAATGGATTAAAGTTATAAAATAAGTATGTCTACATGCAAAGCACGTGCACTGTACTAGTTAGTTAGTACAAAAGGAGTTTGGATTTTGCAGTTTAATTAGAGCATGTTTGGTTACTACTTGTTTTTTTTTAAATTTTTATAAGTTACATATTACATATTCTCAAAACTTCTTGTAATTATGTAAGAAATAAGAAAATTATTTGGCAAACCCCTTAACTTACAAGGAGATATATGTAGTTGTGTGTTTGGTAATCCAATAACTTATAAGGTTGCATTAAATATCAAATGACCAAAAGAGATATATTGTTGTGACTCCATAGTGTGACCTATTAATTCAGCTTATATTAAGTATATAATTAATAATAAATATATTAATTATTAAAAAGTAAATGATTTATAAGTAATTATTTCAAATTAATTGTGATTATTAATTAATAATATAATATTAATTAGTTAAATTCATTGTAATGAAATATTATTATCAATAATATATTAATTAATAAAAGTTAGTTATCTCATATAAAAATATATTTGATTAAAATATTTTTATATATTGCATTGTATTGTGATTGTTAATTATAAGAAAATATTTCACTAAGTAAAAGATAATAGGAGGATATTTATGTCTTTTGTCCTGTATAAAGAAAGTTGTTTATAAGTAGCCCAAAAATAAGTTTGGGAATTCCCAACTTATGTTCTGGCTGTTTACAAGTAAGAAATAACTAACATAAGTAATTCTTACCCAACACGATATTATTAATTTATTATAAATAAAAAAGCTGCTTATGAGTAGAAACAGGTAAGTTGCTAAACACTCGCTCAGTACTATTCTTCTGATTTTGTCATCCTCTTCGTGTATGCTCGCTATACGCTGGTCAGGCGTGACAGCTGGCAGTAGAGGAGGTGGGGGTTGGCCCAACTGGCCATAGTTATTGGGCTGGGCCAGCAAGCTTGTGGGTCGTGTAGTCCCATACTCAAAACGTGGCAGGCCAAGACCCATTAGCAGCGGTAATCCATGTACGTGTCCATGCTTCTCTTAATATCATAGCAGCGGATGTGAAGATCCTACAGGTCCCCATCTTTTCTTCTTTATTTCTCTACCATATATTCCCCTAGAAAGAGGTCACCCTGCTAACAACACGACATAGGAGGAGGAATGGGTCTCTGGAACTGGCCATGGAGAGCAGGGTCCTCTGGATTTGGCTCGTCTTCAACAGCTGAACAAGTCACTGAAGGGATCGATGCCGATAATCTCACTGCAATTGTCACAGGTTTTTCTTAGGACTTGTGTGCATGTGCTGGAAAAAAAAAAGCTTGTTATGTTTCTACGAGATATCGCCCTCTCCCGTTTCATCTTCGAGCAGATCGAGTTGAACGAAATTAGTCGGTTAACTGTAAGAACGAGAATTTCGAGAAAAAGTTATAAACATGGATTACTTTGTGAATGATACAGTAATAGTATACAGAAGCCCTGATATCAGCATGTACAACTTTAGCTAAAGTAAATTCATGAAAATAAGCAAAAAAGACGTTGTAGAAGCAAAAACAGTAGTGTACAGAAATTCGAACTGCATCCTTACCCTCTTACGTACCATGAATCCTATAGTTTTCTGGTCAGAATTACTCGCCGACTATTTCCCTGGTTGAGAGAGAGTCGATACTAATAGATAACTAATCAATATAGCTTATTAATTGCCAAATCTAAGATTCAAGATGAAAACTCTCAAAGCTGAGCTAGTCATGAACCATTTAGAATTAAAAAAAAAATCTTAGATATTGCAGATCACCTCAAGCATAAAATCCTTCGTCTATAAATGCACATATCTAGCAAATTCTAGCATATATTGGGATATAATTCAGCTCCAACTTAAATTTCTCATATAAATTTATACCAGTTTAAATTCCATACACGCAATCATAGACTAAAAACACTTGCGTTTCATCTTTAAAAGCCCCAAAATTTATACCTATACTTACAGAAATAATTAATTAACACGCATGAGCCACAAATAGTTAGAAACAGTTAAGTGCTTACTACCAAAAACAGCCCATTTGACTGTTTCAGTGTTACGCTGTGGTCTAATTTGTCATCGGTAATTTCTCCGTAAAATATTAAGCGAGCTAATAAGCATATATATGTTCGTGCTGCAGGAGCAACAAATGGCATTGGCAAAGAGACAGCAAGAGTTCTAGCGCTGAGAGGGGCTAAAGTCATAATACCATCAAGAACACTCGAAAGCGGCACCAAGGTCAAAGAAAGCCTCCTCGAACAGAATCCATCAGCGAAGCTCCAAGTATTGGAGATGGACCTGAGCTCCCTCCACTCAGTTGACTCCTTCGCGCGCTCCTTCAGTTCATCAAACAAACACCTTAACATCCTCATGTAATTAAGCCACAAATTAATTAAATAGCTAGCCACTGTAGTTTTATCTCATTATTTCTTAAATCTTTTTAGCCTTGCATTTGGTTTTACTGATAGTAGTAGTGTTGACGTGTTTTGGACTTCTAACAGAAATAATGCAGGAATAATGGCGTGCCCCTTTCAGCTGTCAAAGGATGGAATAGAGTTGCAATTTGCTACGAATCACCTAGGTACTGTGATTTCCTTCATTCTTGCTTTCTCTTGGTTTTGGAGGTACGGGTCCATAACAGAATTTTTAATTAGATAACATAACAGGGTTAATTGCAGAAACTCTGTAGTTTTGTATTTTGGATTATTTTATTAATAGCAGTTTGATCCTCGCAGATAGACCCTCGGGGTCATTTTTTTTACTCTTTTACCCTCTGGAATCTATTTGCCTAAAGAAGGAAAAAGGGAAAGAAAAAAAAAATTTCTGTCCGAGGGTAGGAGAGTCAAAAAAATTCACGCATGGGGCTCTGTCTGCCAAAGTTGGACTCTAGGAATTATAAGTTACAAGGCGCAATACTGCAGGGGTCTGTGTGCAATTACCTCGAGATAATATTAGTCCATCGCAAATTGGTATTAGGATATTAGTCCCTTACGGTATGAAGCTCATGCGATGTATCCCTCAATTAAGTTGTCCATAAAGATATTGAATACATCATGATTTATACTCACAATGACTCTTTCCGTATCTCTAAACTTAGTTTAAATTCTAATCTGTTGGGTTTTCTAACCCCTGTTGCAATTTGGAAATAGAGATGGAGAAAAGAAAAACGAACAATCACAGAGGATACATAGAATTTTATATGGTTCACTTCTCAACGAGAGAAGCTACGTCCACGGCCGCCGCAAGAAAAAATTCACTTTTCTCAGGTTAGTTTACAAGCTGCCCTAATCACCCATTTTATAACATAGCGTTCTTACAAACAAGAATCTCAAACAGACCAGAAAACGAGCCAAGGCCCAAACCTGAGTCGCGATTGACCGCCAACAATGACGTGGTCGACCAACCAGAACGTCAAAATCTCAGGAAACCAATTACAGAATCCACGGTCGACCGGGCCTAGCCTCGCGGTCGACCAGATAGAATGCAGAAACACACCTTGTAGTGTGCATGTTTTCCGATCGATCGGACCTTGCCTCGCGGTCGACCGGCCAACACCCAAAACGTTGCCTACTTCGTTTTTCCTGTTCTTGCCTGTTTTCCTCTTCAATGCAGCAAATAGGGTCGAGTCTGATAGTTAGGCTCCATATAGCCTAACAACCTCTTACTTGGAGACTAACTCTCTGTCTTTATGACCTTTCCTTGTGGCGACGACCTCCCATACTATCAAGTAATGATGCCAACTGAAGTTGAACACAACCTTAGTTTCTCCATAGTGACAGTCTTCGTAAGCATGTCAGCCGGGTTCTTGCTTCCTTGGATCTTCACAAACTCCAACACGTCATCATCCAAGGCTGACCTTATGAAGTGATAACGAACATGTATATGCTTGACCCTGGCATGAAAAGCTAGTTCTTTGCCAAATGGATGGCGCTCTGGCTATCACAGTGTAAGACACTCTTCTCATTTTTCTGTCCCAACTCCTCCAAGAACCCCTTTAACCATATCATCTCCTTGCTTGCCTCTGTCACATCAACATATTCTGGCTCTATAGTCGATAAAACGACGATCTTCTGTAACTGGGAGACCAAACTGATGGTAGTAGTACCTAATGTGAACACATATCCCGTAGTGCTCCTTCTCTGATCTATCTCACCAGCAAAATCTGTATCACCAAATCCCTGCAGACCCAACTTGCCTCTCTTGAAGCATTAACAAGTCTCTAAAGTACCCCGTATGTATCTTAGAATCCACTTTACTGCTTCCCAGTGTTGTTCTCCTGGATCTGATATGAATCTACTCACAGCTCCCACTGTATGGGTAATGTCAGACCTCGTACACACCATGGCGTACATAAAACTTCCAATGGCTGAAGCATATGGAACATCCACCATGTAGTCTTTCTCCTCATCAGTCACTAGACACTACTCCCTAATCAACCTGAAATGACTAGCCAAAGGTATGCTAACAACCTTAGCATCACTCATCCCAAACCTCTCAAGCACCCGTCTAATATACTCAGCATGAGATAGCTGCAATGTGCTCAAAAGCATGTCTATGCTAATCTTCATCCCCAAAATCGGCTTTGCTACACCTAAATGCTTCATGTCAAACTCACTTGACAGCTGCTTCTTCAACTTCTTGATCTCACCCATATCTGAACCGGCTACTAGCATGTCGTTGACGTATAGCAGCAAGATAACGTAGATGATGTCAAGCCTCTTGAAGAAACAACAATGATCAGCATTGCACCTAGAGTATCCATTCCTCTGTATGAACCTATCAAACTTTTTGTACCATTGCCTTGGAGCTTGTTTCAGACCATACAAGCTCTTTTCCAGTCTACACATCATCTTCTCTTTGCCTTTCTGAGTAAACCCCTCTGGCTGTTCATGTATATCTCTTCCTCTAAGTCACCATGGAGGAAGGCTGTTTTTACATCTAATTTCTCGAGATGTAGATCTTCAGATGCAACAATGCTCAGAACCGATCTGATAGTAGTCAATTTGACTACAGGAGAGAAGATTTTCGTGTAGTCGACTCCTTCTTTCTGCTGAAACCATTTGACCACCAATCTAGCCTTGTATCTCTTAGAACCATCATGTTCCTCCTTCATTATGTACACCCATTTGTTATTCAAGGCTTTCTTTCCCACTGGCAACTTCGCAAGCTCCCAAGTCTTGTTAGAGTTCAAGGACTTAATCTCCTCTTTCATAGCAAGCTTCTACTTGCTCGCATCACCCACTCAACATGCCTCATCATAGATTCCTGACTCTCCATCGTCACTCAACAATAAGTAGTTAAAATGAGACTTGGACTGTAATGATGGATACTTTGGATTTGGTTTGGGTACTCTAGTTGTCCTCCTCAACTCTCTGATAGGTGGACCAGGCTCTGCATCTGCATCTGTCCTCTCTGAAGTAATCTCCTCTATCATATCTTCTTCCACCTCTTTTGCTACTTCTTCTGCCTCATCAGAACTAGCCTCAAGGTTACTCTCATCTAGAACATCATCCGGCTTGAAGTATACAGGCTCAGACTGCACCGAACTAGTGGACTGAAGAGCATCACGATCTTTGTAGAGGACTGTTTCATTGAAGATAATATCTCTGTTTCTGATGACTTTCTTGTTCTGCTCATCCCAGAACTTATAGCCAAACCCATCACCATAATAGCCAATAAAATAACATTTCAAAGATTTAGAATCAAGTTTGTTTCTTACATGATCACTAAAATGAACATATAAAACACAACCAAAGACTCTTAGATGAGAAAGGTTTACCTCCTTTTCGCTCCATACTTCTTCAGATATTATATGCTCCAAAGGTACTGATGGTCCCTGGTTGATCAGGTAGGCATCTGTGTTGACTGCTTCTGCCCAGAACTGCTTTGGAAGTCCTGCTTGTAGACGCATGCTTCTGGCTCTCTTAGTCAATGTCATGTCCATCCGTTCTGCTATGTCGTTCTTCTGTGGTGTACTTGGCACTGTCCTCTCCAATCTGATGCCACTATCATAGCAGAACTTCTTGAACTCAGAATCTTCATACTCACCGCCATTATCTGATCGCAGCTTCTTGATCTTCAAACCTCTTTTATTTTCTACCATAGCCTTCCATCTTTTGAACACTTCGAACACTTCTGATTTGTGTTACAAGAAATAGAACCAAGTCTTCATCGAGTGATCATCTATGAAGGTCACAAAATACAACCTTCCACCTGTAGACTTGACTAATGCTGGACCCCATACATTTGTATGAACTAGCTCAAGCTTCTCTTCCTTCAAAGTTCTACCAACTCTTTTGAAGCTTATTCTCTTCCGTTTTCCAAAGATGCTACTTTCACATAAGTCAAGATCAGTCGACCTCAAACCTGGTAGATTTCCATTCGATTGCATAACCTTTAGCCCTTTGCTGGTCATATGACCAAGCATTTTGTGCCACAAATTTGGATCTTCTTTGATCTCAACCACTACAATGGATCCATATGCATTTGTTATCATATAGAGAGTCCCACTCTTCGTGCCATGAGCAATAATTATAGACCCCTTGGTAATCTTCCACGTATCACATACGAAGGTTGTTATATATTCCTCTTTTGCCAGCTGTCCTATGGAGATCAAATTCTTCCTCAAGCTAGGAACATGTCTCATATCATTCAACTTCCATACAGACCCATTGAGGTTGATTTGCACTACTCCTTTTCTAACTATATCACACGCCTGGTCATCACCAAGGTAAACTTTTTTTAAATTTCCTGAAACATAGTTCTCAAATAGATCTCTATTTGAGGTAGCATGAAACGATGCTCCCAAATCCAGCACCCATAATTCTGTTGTGCTCTCTAAAGAGCAAATGAAGGCATCATCTGATTCTCCTGAGGTAACGTTTGTTTCAGTCTTGCTCTCCTTGTCTTTCTTGGGTTCCCCGTACTGGTTCTCATAGTGCTCATACTTGCCATAGTTTCAGCAATCAATCTCTTTCTTGCTTTTACGGTTTTTGGATTTTGACCTGTCGTTCCTCGAAATAGGTCTCCCATGGCTATTTCCTCTATTTCTGTTTCTGTTTCACCTCTACTTTCAACATTCAGTGTCGACTCTAAACTAGAGATTCCTTCTTCTTGCCTTCTAATCTCCTCGGTCATAACCATATCAACAACCTCTAAAAATTTTAGTTTCAGTTTTCCAAATGACCCGCTAATCAAAATAACGGTACCCTTCCAACTATCAGTCAACTGACCAAGTATTAAGAGGGCTTGAATTTCATCATCGAATTTAATATTAACGAAGTTTAACTGATCCGTGATCTCATTAAATTCATTCAGGTGATCCTTAAATTTTTGATTCTCAGACATCCTCAAATTAAATAACTTCTTATGAGATGTACCTTATTCGCTGCAGAGGGTTGTTTATACATGCTGGATAAAGCAGCCATGAGAGACGCCGTCGAGTCCTGATTCTTAATGTTGAATGCTACAGATCTAAACAAGGTCAACCTGATTGTTCCAAGGGCCTTCCGATCTAACAACTTCCATTCTGCATCATTCATATCCACCAGCTTCTCTCCCAATGGCAAATACAGATCCTTCTGATAGATGTAGTCTTCCATCTGTATATTCCAGTACCCAAAGTTTGTCTCATCAAACTTTTTGATCTTGGACGTCTCGTTCTCGGATCCCATATCTAACCTCAAATTGCCTGCACCGAACCTGGTCGCTTTAATACCAATTGTTGGGTTTTCTAACCCTTGTTGTGATTTGGAAATAGAGATGAGGAAGAGAAAAAAGAACAATAACAGAGAACACAGAGAATTTTACGTGGTTCACTTCTCAACGAGAGAAGCTACATCCACGGCCGCCGTAAGAAAAAAATTTCACTATTCTCAGGTTAGTTTACAAGTTGACCTAATCACCCCTTTTATAGCATAGGGTTCTTACAAACAAGAATCTTAAACAGACCAGAAAACGAGCCCAGGCCCAAACCCGAGTAGTGGTTGACCGCCAACAATGGTGCGGTTGACCGACCAGGACGTTAAAATCTCAGGAAACCAATTGCAGGGTCCGTGGTCGACCGGGCTTAGCCTCGCGGTCGACCGACCAGAATGCAGAAACACGCCCTGTAGTGTGCATGTTTTCCGATCGACTGGGCATTGCCTCACGGTCGACCGACCAACACCCAAAAACGTTGTCTGCTTCGTTTTTCCTGTTCTTGCCTGTTTTTCTCTTCAATACAGCGAATAGGGCCGAGTCTGATAGTTAGGCTCCACGTAGCCTAACACAATCCAACATCGCAAGGTTAAAGCAATTCATAACTAGAGAAATTTTTCTGATTTGCCTGATTACGTAGATGACTATAGAATTTTTTTTTACACTCGTCATTGTTTGTGATTTGTTAGTAAATTTTATAGAAACAATTGTTTGCAAGTCCTTGATCCTAGAATTTTTGAAAACTGGTTTTTGAGGATTTTTCCGAATTTATAGAAATGTTCAAAATTTCTTTAATGTGGTTTTGGATTACCGTAGAAAATTAGCCTCTCCCAAGTTTTTTGGTTCAATTCTGTCGCTAATTTACATGTAAGACATGAGAATTGAATAGAAAAACAATGTATAATTAATTCCTCAAAAATGCAGGACATTTCCTGCTCACCAAACTCCTACTAGAAAAGATGAAAGCCACAGCCAAAGCGACGGGAATACAAGGAAGGATAGTCAATGTATCCTCTGTAGCTCACAAGAGAAGTGATGGATCCTGCTTTGATTTGGATAAGATAAATGACAAATCAAGGTATCTCGAAACTTAATATCGTTGACATTTTCATAGATAACAAGCAGAGGTCACTAAATTCTCTTCTGCACACAAAATTCTCTTCTGGCAGATACAAGCCTTTTGGTGCGTATTCTCACTCGAAGCTGGCAAATATACTTCATGCGAATGAGCTATCTAGGCGGTTGAAGGTATTCGATCACTTCATTTGATTGGCGAAATACAATTACTGTAGAGATAAAAAAATCAGGGTAAATCAGAGAACACCCCTGAACCTGTGTCACTTGAGTACGATGACTGAAGGTGGTTTATACCTTTTAATTTTGCTGAAGAAATCGAGTTACAGTGGGCAGATAGTGGCAAGGGTAGTTTAGACTTTTCACCCTTCACGTTAATGCTGTTTATTTCAATCTCCAATAGTTTAGAGGGTTTCCTATAATTTTGAAATTTCTGACAGTTTTCTCAGATTTACCAAGTTTAAAGGGATTTTGTGCAATGCAACCCAAAAATTCATTGAAATTTGCCCTTAAAAATGTGAATGCTTTGCGATATTTTGATACAAGGATACCATACTTGCCATACTACCCTCGAACTCTCCTAGGATGCCATACTTGTGTTGCGTATTTATTTGGGATTCTTTAGTAACTAAATCTCTTCAAAACATTGAGCTAAGCATTATGCGACATTCGAGACTGCATTAAGTTTGGAAATGTTTATCGACTTCTCGCTCTCCAATCTTATGTCAATCAGGAAGAGGGAGCCAATGTAACAGCCAACTCCTTGCATCCAGGAGTAATAATGACCAACATAGTTCGCTACCTAAACTTAAATGGTATTATCCTTCCTTCGACCTCAAATGTTCTCCTGCACAATATTTCTCTTATCAAAGAAGACCGACTTCTACTTTATTCTGTAGGTGTGATAATTTCTCTTGGTACTATGGCGAAACCATTTCTTAAGGACATCCCCGAGGTAAGTAAAATATATGTGTACTTTCATGTGTAATTGCCGAAGAAATTAGCTTATTTTGTGGCTGGTGTCCCCTAATACAATGTGGTAAAAGTATCTGAAAAAAATGTATTTATTTTCACAGGGAGCTGCAACAAATTGTTACGTAGCGCTGCACCCCAAAGTGACAAATGTGACTGGGAAATATTTTGTCAACTGCGATGAGGCAACACCAACCTCCGCAGCAAGAGATGCCGGTTTAGGCAAAAAGCTTTGGGACCTTAGCGAGGGGCTTATTAGAACAAACAGACGAACAAAATAGCATCTTTCTTGTAGGTGAATTTGTTTAATTTGTACACGCTGGTCTGGATGATCAATGACGCTAAAATTGTTACTAAGCTTTGCTAGTTTCCTTACCGATCCTGTACATTTTTGTTTTTCCCCCGCGTAGCTCGATCCGGTGCTCAATTTAAATGGAAAATGATGGTTCTGCAGTTGAGGACCTAAATGATTTAGTTACATCTCAAACAATATATTTTGAAACTATCCTTGGACATGAATGATTTAGTTACATCTCAAAACAATTTATCTTGATCTGTTGGAACTATGCCTGGTTGCTTTCCATGCATTGCACTCTTATTACATGTTTGGAGAGACCACTTGAAGAATTCTGTTCTGTTGTACACCACTGTTTATGGTGACTTGCACCACTGATCGAGGACTCTTTCCAAAAATTTGGGATGGATTTGCCATTGTTGATGTTATTTTTTGTACTTTTTTAAATGAGGATAATCCACGGATTGGCGGAAACCACAACATTAGTTGGCCTAATCTGTAAGGAAAGTAAGGAAATTATCATTAAGCACGTTTCTTTCCTTAATTACCATTAAGCACGTTTCTTTCCTTCCCCTAAATATGGTCATTATAGGAATCCGTTTTCATATTAAGTATGCTATCAATAACTAAATATGGTTAGTTAAAAGAGATCTTTTTCAAATCTTTTCCAAATATATTTCTGCCTTGATGGACGGCTGAGATTAAGTATTAGAAAAGAAAACCCTAATGGAAAATTCGGTCCTCTCTCCACCTATAAATAAAAGCCTTTGCCCATCACAAAGACTTACTTACGTATTCAACACATAAGGGTTAATAGGCAAGGAGAGAGAAATTCGAATCATTCACCTAGCCTCTCCACCATTTGCATCAGGATGTCTGGAGGTACTGTTTACTTATACAAGATTAATATCCTATCTATGATAATCATGTAGTTCACGATCTTAGGGTTCATGTAGATTATTCTTACATGTGGTATCAGAGCTTAGGTTTAGAACACATGATCATCATGAATTATGATTAATCTGCACCGCCATAATCGGCATGTATAGATCCGTTACTTACTCTATTTTGCAGCAATTTTCGATCCAACTATTATGACCCGCATGTATGTTTAATTTTAATTCCGCAATTTTTTTTTATTTGGGCATGACTGTTTGATCGTGATTTATTTAAAGTTTTGTATTTTATTAAACTCATGTGTGAGAAAATCAGTACGTCGCTACTCATAACAGAGGATGATCAAAATTAAATAAATAAATATTTTTTGGAGTGCTACCCAGAACACCGGCCTTCGGCGGGATATCACGTGGCGACATCCTTATAGTACCATCATTATACTTACATCACATATTTTTCAAATGCATGAATCATTTATTTGCCCACAGCCTTATAGTACCATCATTATACTTACATCACATATTTTTCAAATGCATGAATCATTTATTTGCCCACAGGCAGATTGTATTCATATATTTGAACAATAATTAAGGAGCAATTGTTCACACATAAACTAGAGGATATCCACAGATATCTTGCTTTTCTTAAAATACATTGCTCAATTATACCCCTTAAATATGACGACCTTAGATGGTATAATGTGTAGAAATTAAGGTGAATACCCACAGGAGCACCTGAATTATATGTCGTTCATATTAATTAAGCATGTGTTGTTTTAAAAAATTGTAGCCTAAATTTGTTGTATCTCTATTGCAGTGACTATACCCTCAAACCTTAATTCGCATGCTACCTCTATCATGAAACTTAATGGAACCAACTTCTCAGAATGGAAAGAGCAGGTTGAGTTCACTTTAGGGGTGCTTGAATTGGATACGGCTTTTCTTATAGAAAAGCCAGCTCCGCTCACTAACACAAGTACTCCCGAAGAAATAAAACTCCATAAAGATTGGGAGAGATCTGATAGACTAAGCATCATGTTTTTGCGAATGTGCATTGAACCCAACATCAAAACATCCCTACCTGAACCCGAGAATGCTAAGGATTATATGAAGGCCATTGAAGATAGGTTTAAGACTGCAGACAAATCCCTTGCTGGAAAACTAATGGCAGATCTTACAACCATGAAATTTGATGGCTCTCGCTCAATGCATACTCATGTCATCGAAATGACTAACCTTGCAGCCAAACTAAAGAACTTAGGAATGACAGTGGATGAACAATTTCTCGTCCAATTTATCCTAACCAGTTTACCTTCTCAATATGGACCTTTCCAAATTCACTACAACACTATTACGGAAAAGTGGGGGGTGAATGAATTGGCTAATAAACTGGTTCAAGAGGAGGCCAGGCTGACCTCACAAGGTATTAAAGTAGCTCATTTCGTTCAAGGAGCTGGAAACCAAGCTGGGAAAAAGAATAATTCATTCCAGAAAAGAGCACCACCCAAATCTAATGAGGCTAATCAATCATCCAAGAAGAAAAAGAAAAATGACAGTTGCAAATTTTGCAAGAAACCTGGGCATTTCCAGGCAGATTGCACTAAGCGTAAAGAATGGTTCGAAAAGAAAGGTAACCCTATGGGTTTCGTAAGTTATTTCGAATCAAACCTTACTTATGTTTCTTCTGATACTTGGTGGATTGACACTGGTGCTAATGTTCACGTTTCAAATAATATGCAGGGATTCCTTACGATCCAAACCACAAACCCAAGTGAGAAGTTCATCTTTATGGGAAACAAAGACAAAGCTCCAGTTGAAGCTATTGGAACTTTTCGTCTTATTTTAGATAGCGGTTATCAGTTAGACTTATGTCAAACTCTTTATGTTCCGTCTATTTCCCGTAATTTGATTTCTGTAAGCTCGCTTGATAAAGACGGTTATTCGTTTGAAGTAGGTAATGGAAATTTCAGTTTATTTAAAAATTCTAGGCATATTGGTTCTGGAATTTTGATTGATGGGCTTTACAAGCTAAATCTTGATAGTCAAATTGCTGAAATCCATAACACCTTGCATTCTAATGTTGGAACAAAACGCAAATCATCTAAAAATGACTCTTATTTCTTGTGGCATAAAAAACTGGGTCACATATCCAGTGAAAGAATCAAACGATTAGTAAAAGACGGAATCCTTCCGGTTCTAGATTTTACTAACACTGAAGTATGTGTGGATTGTATTAAAGGCAAAACAACAAAACACACAAAGAAAGGAGCCACAAGAAGTACCCAGCTTCTTGAAATAATACATACAGACATTTGCGGACCTTTTGACGTTCCAACCTTTGGGGGAGAGAAGTATTTCATCACCTTTATCGATGATTATTCACGTTACTGTTACTTATATTTGTTGCATAATAAATCTCAGTCTGTGGATGCCGTACAAGCATTCATAACTGAAGTTGAAAGACAACTAGACAGAAAAGTAAAAGTCATAAGGTCAGATAGAGGTGGTGAGTTTTATGGAAGGTATGATGAAACAGGACAACATCCTGGACCTTTTGCAAAACTCCTCCAAAAGCTTGGAATTGTTGCCCAATACACAACGCCTGGTTCTCCATGGCAAAATGGTGTAGCTGAAAGGCGAAATCGTACATACATGGAAATGGTTAGATCTATGATGAGCTATGCTAACTTACCTATATCCTTGTGGATGGATGCTCTACGTACAGCTGTTTATATATTAAATAGGGTTCCAAGCAAAGCAGTTCCAAAGACTCCTTTTGAACTGTGGAAAGGCTGGAAACCTAGTTTAAAACATCTTCAAATTTGGGGTTGTCCAGCTGAAGCTAGAATTTATAATCCACATGAAGCAAAATTGGACCCTAAAACAATCAGTGGTTTCTTTATAGGTTACCCAGAAAAGTCCAAAGGATATAGGATTTATTGTCCTAACCATAGCACGAGAATTGTTGAAACCGGTAATGCTAGATTCTATGAAAAAGACGAAATCAGTGGGAGTAACAAACATCAAGATGTGATCATTCAGGAAATAAGGGTACCTTTTTCTTTACCCTCTATTTCGAAAGATATTGGTAATCTTCCTGTTGTTGAACCAATTAACAATGAGGAAATTCCAATGAATGATCAACAACTCCATAATGAGATTATCGTCAATGAAAATGATAATGAAACCCTACAAGAACCAGCATTAAGAAGATCTCAAAGACAAAGGAGGTCAGCTATTTCTGATGATTACATGCTTTACCAAGTAGAATCTGAAGAAGGGACAATTAAGGACCCGGTTTCTTATTCACAAGCCATTAAAGATGTTAATTCTAGTAAATGGATTGATGCCATGAAAGATGAATTAAAATCTATGGATAAAAATCAAGTATGGGAAGTAGTTCATTTGCCTCCAGGACACAAAGCAGTTGGCTGTAAATGGGTCTTTAAGACCAAACGCGACTGTAAAGGCAACATTGAACGACATAAAGCCAGACTTGTTGCCAAAGGTTTTAATCAGAAAGAGGGCATTGATTATATTGAAACCTTTTCCCCTGTGTCCAGAAAAGATTCTCTTAGAATTATCATGGCATTAGTAGCTCATTATGACCTCGAGTTACATCAAATGGATGTGAAAACCGCCTTTCTTAATGGAGACTTAGAAGAAGAAGTCTACATGCGTCAACCTGAAGACTTCATAATTGAAGGTCAGGAAGACATGGTCTGCAAACTTAAGAAATCAATATATGGACTGAAACAAGCTTCCAGACAATGGTACCTAAAGTTTCATGAAATCATTACTGAATTCGGTTTCAAAGAAAACATAGTTGACCCTTGTATATATCTCAAAATCAGTGGGAGTAAGTTCATATTATTGGTTCTGTATGTTGATGACATATTACTGGCTAGTAGCGACCTTGGTTTATTACATGAAACCAAGGATCATCTCTTGAAGAGCTTTGAAATGAAAGATATGGGTGAAGCTTCCTATGTAATAGGAATAGAAATATTCCGTGATAGATCACTTGGAATTTTAGGATTGTCTCAAAAAGCATATATTGACAAAGTTCTAGAGAGATTTGGCATGATGACATGTTCCTCTAGTCCTGTCCCACTGCATAAAGGAGATAAGCTTGAGCTTGAGCAGTGTCCACAGAATCCTTTGGAACGTGAAGAAATGGCAAAATACCCTTATGCTTCTCTTGTTGGGAGTTTGATGTATGCACAAGTCTGTACAAGACCTGACATTACTCATGCTGTTGGCATGTTGGGTAGATTTCAAAG